CAAAACAGCCCTGACTGGTGTGACTCAATTGGTTGGGTGTCATTTCACAAAGCCAAAGGTCACTGATTTGGTTCCTGGTTGGGGTGCATGCCTGCATTGCTGGTTTGCTCCCCATCGGAGAGTGCATGAGAGGCAACCAATCAATGTTTCTCTCTCACATCGATGTTCCTCTCCCTCTCTCCCTCCCTTCCCCGCTCTCTAAAAATAAATAAAAACTTTAAAAATGGGCAAAATATTTGCATAGACATTTCATCAAGGAAGACATGCGCATGATTAAAAGCATATGAAAAGATGTTCAACATCATTAGTCTTAAAGGAAATGGAAGTCAAACCCAAAGGAGATACATCTTCACATCCACTAAGGTATTTTTAATAAAAAACACAATAACAAATACTGACAAGAATGTGGAGAAACTGGAACCTCATACATTGCTGTAGGAAAGTAAAATGAAACAGCCATTTTAGAAAACAATTTGTCAGTTTCTTAAAATGTCAAACATAGAGTTACCGTATGACCCTACAATCTCAGAGAAATATATATATATATATACACACACACACACACACATACACACAAAGATTTGTACATGAATGCTGATAGCAGTAGTAGTATTCATATTAGCCAAAAAATGGAACCAATCCAAATATCTACCAGCTGGTAAATGATATACAAAATGTGGCATATCTATATGATAGAATACTATTTAGTAATAAGGAACAAAGTACTAGTATGTGTTATAACATGGATAGGCCTCAAAAAGTTATACTAAGTGAATAAAGCCAAACAAAGAGCACTTATTGTATGATTCTATATATATGAAATGTCCACAATAGGCAGATCTATAGAGACAGGAAGTAAATTAGTAATTGCCTGTGCCTGGGAGTAGGGACAGAGAGTGACTGCTAATGAGTGGGAGGGATTTTTTTTACAGTGATGAAAGTGTTCTAACAGGGGTGGGTGCTGATGATCACACAACTCCTAATTTACTAACAATCAATTGTACACTTCATGGTATGTAAATTATACCTCAATAAAGCTGTTAAAAACTAAGCTGTTAATTAACTAGAAATAAAAGGAAACTCATCAGAAGTATACACTAAAACCTATAGCACATTTTAAAATGTTGAAACTTTAGAAGTATTCTCTTTAAAATCAGGAAGGAGAAACATGCTTGCTATTAATACTGTGCACGATTGTTTGGCGTGGGGGTTGCAGGATCCTCGGTGCAATAAAGGAAATAAATACATAAGGATTGATAAGAAAAAAATGAAAGAATAGCGATTACAGATGTGATTGTCTGTATGAAGAGTTGCAAAAAACTCTGTAAAAGACCATGTAATAAGTATTTTAGGCTTTGTGTGCTATGTGGTCTCTGAGCAACCATAGACAATATATGAATGGGTGTGGCTGTGTTCAACAGACTTTCTGTATAAAAACTGGCAGTGGTCCAGAGTTGGTCCATAGACCAGTTTTCTGACTCCTGGCCTGTATAGAAAACCTTAGAAATTCTGCTGACAAGTGATAAGAGTTACACCGAGAATGCAGAATAAAGATCAAAATGTAAAAATCAGTAGTGTTCCTAATCATAAGAAAATATTTAAGTTTTTTAAAGTATATAGTTTTTAGTAATTAAAAATTTAATTAACACAAAGGAATAAGATTCAATGGAAGATTTGTATATCTTTTATGGAGAAAATTGTAAAATTTCATTTAAGTCATTGTAAGACCTAAATAGAATCTATGAACTAGAAAACACCTCTGAAGCTACAGTAAGCAAATTAAAAAATACAAGATGTAAACTCAAAAAGGTGGGAAGATGGGAAAGGAAACAATGACAATAAAATTTTAAAGTCTAAAAAGTGGTGCCATGGCCATGCGGCTCATTAGGTTGGAGTGTTGTCCCATGTGACAAAAATTTGCTGGTTTGATTGTTGGTCAGAGCACATGCTTATGTTGCAGGTTCGATTCCAGTTGGGATGTGTGCAGAAGGCAACCAACCAGTGTCTGTCTCTCTCTTTCTCCCTGCCCTTCCCCTCTCTCTCTAAAATCTATGGAAACATGTCCTTGGGTGAGGATTAAAAAAGAAAAATCTGGAAAATAGGTAGATGAGTGGCAACTTGACTTAGCAACTTACTTAAACAACTTAGAGCAAGAAAGCTGAATCCTAAGCTGGCATTGTGGAAAAGTTAAGAACTTAAGGAAACTTTTCCAAAATCCTCAAAAATCAGAGGGACTGGCAATTCTGGGTACTCTGTAATAGAAGGGATAGCTATAGTAAGATTCAAGTGAAGAATATTTAAGAATTTATCTATCTTTCCTTAATCCATATCACTGGGCAATTGATTTAACCTCCCAATTCAGAAGTTGTTTCAACAGAGAATTTCTGTAGTGAAAAATTGGGTACTTCATTAAAATTAGGGAGATTGACCTATCATATGCATACTGAATGTTGAAACTCTTAGGTTCTTCCAGTTAATGAACCAAAGATACAGTAGGAGTTCCTGAAAAACTGGCTTCACCCTACACAGTGAAGCTCATGCCTATCCCAGCACTCAGAGTTCCAAGTCAGTTTTATAGTTCCTACTTTTAATTATGAGCAGGTGCTAAAAATAATCAGACATTTGAGAAAAACTTCTAATATAAAAACCTCCACAAATGGGGAGATATTTTGTAGGAAATAGAACTACGTAGGGAGAAGAAGACTTAATTTTTTTTTAAAGATTTTATTTATTTTTAGAGAGAGGGGAAGGTAGGGAGAAAGAGGAGGAAACATCAGTGTGTGATTGCCTCTTGTGCGCCCCCTACTGGGGACCTAGCTCACAACTAAGGCATATGCCCTGACTGGGAATCGAACTGGTGACCCTTTAGTTTGCAGGTCAGTGCTCAAACCACTGAGCAACTCCAGCCAGGGCAAAACTTACAATTTTTTAAACCTATCAATATCCTCAGAGAGGTAAGAAAAGACATTTTATGCTTGAAGCATTGCACGTTGACTGTAGGATGCAGCAGAGAAAGAAGGGACTTTTAACAAGCTGGTATTCTACTTCACATGGGTGAAGAGTCACAAGTGTTCATTTTTCTTCAAACTCGACGTATGTTTTGTTTATGTACTTTTCTGTAGGTATGATACAGTTCACAATTTTAAAAATAATAAACAAAAAAAGAAAAGAAAAGGAGGAATAAAAAACATAGACAAGGAATAAAAAAAATATATCCGGAAAACCAGGCAGATTTGAAAAAGAGCTACATAAAACTTAAAGAAGAAAAAACAGAAAAAAAGGAATTATGGAAATTTAAAAACATATAGGATGGGTCAAGTAGCAGATTAGACACAGCTTTAAAAAGAATTGGTTGCATGCCTTGGCTGGCTCAGTGGTTTGAGTGCTGGCCTGTGAACCAAAGGGTCACCAGTTCAGTTCCCAGTCAGGGCACATGCTTGGGTTGTGGGTCAGGTCCCCAGTAAGGGGAGCTCAGGAGGCAACCACACATTGTTTTTCTCCCTCTTCCTCCCTTCCTCTTTCTAAAATAAATAAAATCTTAAAAAAAAAAAAAAAGGTTTCAATATAGATATTGAAAAATTACCCAGAATGCAACTTGGAAATGAGGAGATAGAAAACATGAAAGAGCAGTTACGAGACAGTCAAATGTGAATGTTTCACATGACTCTTTGGAGCTTTAGAAAAATAGAGAAAATAGGTGAGAGGCAATATTAGAATAATGATAGAGAATTTTCCAGAATATATGACTAACATGAATCTTAAGACTAGAAAGTCAAATGAATCCCAAAAATAGAAAGAAATCCAGATTTGCACATATTCGAGTGAAATGGCAGTACTTCAAAGACCAAGAGGAGATCAAGCCAGAAGGGAAAAAAGATAAATTATCCAAAGTAACAATGAAACTGAGAGCAGACTTAAAAATAGCAACACTGGAAACAGGAACTCAGTGGACTAGCTTCCATATTCAGAAAGAAATAACTATCAACCTAAAGTTACTTGTTCAGCTAAACTTTTAATTAAAAAGAAGAGTGAAATAAAAATTTTCCGAACTATATAAAGTGACTTTATCTCAACAAAGTCTTACTTTAAAAAGACATACTTCAGCCCTGGCTGGTGTGGCTCAGTGGATTGAGCGCTTGCCTGTGGATCAAAGAGTCACTGGTTTGATTCCTAGTCAGGGTACATGCCTGGGTTATGGGCCACGTCCCCAGTGAGAGGGTGCATGAAAGGCAACCACACATTGATATTTCTCTCCCTCTCTCCCTCCCTTACCCTCTTTCTAAAAATAAATAAAATCTTAAAAAAAAAAAAAAATATATATATATATATGAACGACACACACACATACATACACACGCACTTCAGCCCTAACTGATGTGGCCCAGTTGATTGGGCAACCCAGCACAAAGTGAAAGGGTCGCCAGTTTGATGCCTGGTTAGGGCACATGCCTGGGTTGCGGATTCAGTCCTGGTCGGGGTGCCTGTGCGAGGCAACTCATCAATGTCTCATGCACCAATGTTTCTCTCCCTTTTTCCCTCCCTCCCCCTCGCTCTAAAAGTAAATAAAAACTAAAATCTTTTTAAAAACATACTTCAGAGAGAATAAAAAGGAAAATTGGAGGTAGAGTGTGGATGGTGAGCAAAAAAATTAATCATGTATAAGTTTAAGCATACATAGACTATAAATTTTTAAAAAGATTTTATTATTTTTAGAGAGAGGGAAAGGGATGGAGAAAGGGAAAGAAACATCGATGTACAAGAGAAATATCAACCTGTTTCCTCTTTCACCTGCCTAAGCAAGGACTGGCCTGCAACCCAGCCATGTACCCTGACCACGAATCAAACTCGTGACCTTTCAGTTTGTGGGACAACGCCCAACAAACAGCCATGCCGGCCAGGGGTTGACTGTAAATTCTAGTTGTAAAGGCAAAAATATTACTGCTATCAAATCCTTATATTTATGATAACTTTAGGTTTTGTTGGTTTGATTTCTTCTGTAGGTGTACAGAAGATGGGTGTCCGCATAAGAAATTTTTTCACACACGTTTTCTCATGCGAATGAGATTAACACCAGATTGTTCCAAAATGTTGATCTCAACATCCTCTGGCTATCTCTTGATTTTACATGATCTTGATTTAACCAAGTCTTTAGAAGTAGGCAGCTATCCCATTTTGAGAGCAAGAAGAACTACATCAAATTCAGGTAAGCTTTTCTTTTTTTTGAAGAATTTTCCAAAGAATTTCAGACATAGGGATGGTATATGTTTCCATTCTGAGAATGATAGCAGGAGGAAGGAAAGAACATTTTAAAAGACATTCTTTGGAAAAGTCAGTGAGAGCTTTTTTCTTAAGGAAATATAATGACCTATATATTTCTGATGGGGCATTAATTTGTGTTTCTGATCCCAGATGATCTAGGAAGAATAACTGCTAACTCTAAAAAAAATTTCCTCTTAGCTCTCTGCTAGATAGAAAATCTTTCGTCAGTATTGCTGAATCATCACTATCTCAAAAATTAGTGATGGCCTAAGGTAGTATCAATCTTTATAAGTTTTTCTGGAACCCAGCAGAGCTTTTAAGTGATAGTTAATAAAGAATTTTAGTTTTAAGTCTGTATTCTATCTTAGACTTCCAAACATCCAGGCACTAGTAGCTGGTGCCATCTTATCTCATGACCTTTAAACACCCACTTACTGAAGTCCTGATTCTGTTCCTTTTGCTGATTCCATTAGACTTAGGTGAAATTTGGGCCCAGAAAAACTTATGCACTATAATTTACATTATGTGATAGAAACTATTTCATCTGCTTTTGTGGAAAAGAGGGCTGATCTGGGAACATACTGAGAAAAAAAAAGACTTAAGCACTGGAACAGGTAGTGTTCATAAATTGCTATTAAACATTAGTTGCAAATGGTTAGAATCTTTCTCCTTGGTGCACAGGGCCATTTCTGAGGACTCCTTTGGGAATGTGCAGGCCTCATTGTATTGCAGTTCACCAGTTTCACTGCTATTAAGTAGAAATTTAAGTTTTACTAACTTATTTGCAAGCAAGGGATATAATCCTTTTGGATTTAGATTTTTTTTTTCAGTTAAACATTAATAACTTTAGCTTTCTGAGAAGGCCTAGTTGGCTTTTTTAAATTAAAAAAAACCAGGAACATTTTGGGTAATTCTGATACTTAATAACATTAAAGGGAACTGAGTTAATAAGAAGCCTCCACAGAAGTCGGGGGCCACCAGAAAAGTGTGATGAAATAGAGATTGCTATTTATAGCATGACCTCAAACTTGGCTATCTGATATTCATTTTATTCTTTTCCACTGATTTTAATGTATAGTTTGTATTGTGTTTCAAAGATAATAGTCATATATTTTCAAGAATAATAATAGAAGTTTTTAGCATGCTTTAAGAAGGATCTGTTCATAATCTCAATAACAAGACTGTTGTTTGGACCCTATTCTAACATTAAACAGTGGCATGAACAGCTCAGTTTTTATTCTCACAATTTTTTGTTCCATTTCATTACACAAATGATGCAGAACCAAAGATGTTCCTATTTTTTTTGGTTTTTGCTTTTTATTTTTACTTAAGCTAGTCATTGGTATAATACAAGGTCTTAGAAAGGGGCTAGGCCTTAGAACATGTAAGCCAGTTTTAAGTGGATGTATACTTGCCTCGTTTCAGATGGATTTTAACAGTATGGTTCAAGTAGATGATTAAAGAGACATTACCAGAGTTTTGCTGGTGTACTGTCAGAATTTTTTGTGTTTTTAAGATCTGACCACTTCATCGAGTTCATCTGGTCCTAGAGTTTCTGGTTCACCTTGTCATCATAGTGATTCTAATTCATCTTCTGAGAAACACACGTCACGAGCCTCGCAAAGAGAAGGTAGGTTAAAAGTTGGGCTTTAGACCTGGATGGTGTGGTTCAGTGGATTGAATGCTGGCTTGCAAACCAAAAGGCTCCTGGTTCAGTTCCCGGCCAGGGCACAAGCCTGGGTTGTGGGCCAGGTCCCCAGGGGTGTACGAGAGGCAACTTTCTTGTATGTTGATGTTTCTTTCCCTCTCTCCCTCCCTTCCCATCTCCCTAAAAATAAGTTTTTTTTAAAAGTTGGATTTTATAATCCTGAAACAACCCATTCTACCAAATAGCTTTCTTTGGCCCTGGCTGGGTGGTTCAGTTGGTTGGTGTGTCATCTCCTATACCAGAAGGTTGCAGGTTTGGTCCCTGTTCAAGACCCTACGGGAAGCAACCCTTTGATGTTTCTCTTTCATATCAATGTTTCTCTCTCTCACTCTCTCCCTTCCTCTCTCTCTAAAATCAACAAACATATCTTTGGGTGAAAATTTAAAAAAAAAATAGCTTTCATTAGTCCATAAAGTTAGCCAATAGACATGAAGCTGTGCCTTGTCCCTCAGTTACCATTTTCAAAAAGCTAAAACAGGGTCTCTAGGATTGAGTATCTTGGGCTAAAATCTTTGAGAGATTTTAAGCTTCAGCTTTATTTCCCGGTGATGTAGTTTGGAGAGGAAGTAGTTGGGAAATGTAGATTCCAATCAAGGTTATTATGGAAAGTAAATGAAATTATACATGTGACAGTGTTGCATATATGAGGGGATGAGTTTATCAGGTGCTTGAGAAAGTCACCTGGTTCCAGCCCAGCAGACTTTTACAATGCCATTTCCTTACCTGAGCAATGCCTGATGGACTCAGAGGGCTTGTGGTGTAAAGTGAGCTATCATCTGGTTCCACTTTGCTTTTGCCAGTTTTTCCCCAGCCACTCTATCAGAACTAGCTGCTTAGCCTATTCTTTCTACCTTTTAATTGACATACATTCTACCTATGCAAATTTCACTCTGTCCCTCTCCAGACTAATCCACATCTAAGTCCTTACAGCACTTTTTGTTTGTCCTCTTGGTAGACTAATGGCCAGATATGGTTTTTTATAATTTGGGGTCACCTTTTTCTGGTAAGCATGTTTCTTACCTAGATATTTATGGAAAGGATTATAAATTGGACTTGTAACTTGTGTTTTCCTTGGGTGGCCTCACTTTTTAAGTGCTTGATAAATGCATACCTGATTATTTTACATGACTACTTATGTGAGTAGAATGGTTTGAGAGCCCTTCCTAACTTAACCTATAGCTTATTCACTTTCTTCTGGATGTTGAAGTCTGTGATGTTTTACTTTAAGGTTAAAATTTCCACCTCTTAAATTTAGAGACTTATGTCTAGATGTGTATCATTTCTCCTTTGATGTGTAGCAGAAACTTCTTTTGAAGTTTCTACCTGTTCTTCTCATTCTTCTTTAGCTATGGGAAACAAATCAAGGCTCTTAATAATCATTGAGAAAAATCTTTATTATTAACTAAGCCATCCATCAGAAAAAAGAAACTCAATTTAAGAAGAATAGTTCACATGCTTGCTTGTTACATTGGTAAACCCCAAACAAAACTTTATAGTAGTTTTATGCTATTGAGAGTTGTGTCTGGGAGTAAAGATGATGTACTGAAGCCTGGGCAGCAAGGACAAGAATATTAGAGGGTGGAAAGAGAGAACAGGTGGGGCTTAGAGGCGAGGCTGGTCTGAATGTTGGAAACCCTGGGTCTTGAGGTGTCGGAATTTGTTAGCACCATACCTTGGCAGATACAACAGCTGTAAAGAGCAGGGGCTTTCAAACTCATTTCAGAATTAAAACTCTATTTTTGACCTGAAATTTGCTGTGGTTTCTTAGCGATGTAGCACAAATAAAGTGGAGTAACTCTGGTTCACGTGAAATTAGGGGAAGCCCTTGACCCGTTGTCTTCCCCACCCCATTTCTACCCTGGTCTCCAGGTGGCCCTTGAGGAACCTCCAAGGAGCACAACTTGAAAACCATTGCTTAGCTATTTAAAATGGGTTTCTTTTCTGCTTTGTTATAGATTTTTGAAATTAATTTTTGAAATCGGGTTTTCTAAAAAATTATTAAAGTTTAATCACATATGATATCATAATGTAGGTATAGTTTGGTTTTAACTGTAATTTAGAGCTTTGCAGGTTTCAGTCAATGCTGTAGTAATCTAAAGAGAATCTTTTGAAAGAAGATAAATCTCTTTGAGAAACAAGTTCACAAAGGGTCGGAAGAGGGAGCTCATTATCTTCAAAGGAACACCTTCCACGGAAAGAGAAGTGTTGAAATATTCTCTTCATATTAAATTTTTAAGCTGCTTTCTTACAGTGTCTGCAAAAGTGGTTGTCCACGTACCTGAGGGATCTGACATATTCCCAGTAGTAATTATGGCTCACTGCAGAAGCCTTCATGTCTTCCAAGTATTTCCTTCTCTGCCTAGGGAACACCAAGTCCTCTGAGATGAGAATTGTTATCTTTTACTTTTCCAGATCCCTTTCATGTCATGTAACTTTGACTTTACTGAAATGAAGAGCTTTCTGAGATGTCATCCAAATCAAAAGGATCCCCTAGTTAGTTTTAATGCCTTAACCTGAGGTCATTGGTGATTCCTGCTACAGGAACTTGGATTCTTTAGTTCTGATCATACCCTTTCCCCATAACCTCACCCCAAAGACACACACTCGATGTACTGAGGGCACATGGTCTTTTTGTTTGTTTGTTTTTACATGTGGTAGCATAAGGCAGACAAAGGAATGAAGGCATAGGGGCGGCTGGCAGAAATTAAAACTTTTTAAAAATTTTATTTTTAATTTATAACCTCTTCTTTTAAAAGCTTTTTTATTGAGTTTATTGGGGTGACAGTTAATAAAATTATATAGGTTTCAGGTGTATAGTTCTGTACATCATCTGTATGTTGTGTGTTTACCACCCCAAGAAATCAAAGCTTTGATAAACTGCCTTAGTCCTTTGATAATACAAATCCCACATTCTAATTTTCTTGTATCTCAGGAGTTTCACCACGAAATAGTCTTGAAGTCTTAACTCCTGAAGTTCCTGGTGAGAGAGACCGTGGAAACTGCATCACATCCTTACAGCTGCACCCAAAAGGCTGGGCCACTCTCCTGCGGTGCTCAAGCAACACTGATGATCAGGAGGTACAGGCAGGCAGCACTCCGCCTTCGGCAAGGCCGACTGAACAAATTGCCATTGCCATTGCCATGTGTGCTTGAAGCCCCTTCTTCCTCCCCTCCAGCCCGGCTGTGGGAAGCTGGGAAGTATTTTAAAGCAATGATCAGCTCAGATTATGCCCAGTTTATTAATTCTTTTCTCTTTCCTCTCATCATAAGAAAACCTTTATATAGTAATCACAGGACTGAGATATTTCAGCTAGGCTGGCTAACTGTGAAGTTTTGCTAAGCCAGTTGAGTATAATACTTTTCTCTTTTTAAAAACAAGGGGAAACTTTGGGAAAGGAAGGAACTAAACTGAGACTAGGGGAAAAGGTTCTTATATGACCTTATTATTTTTACCACTCTGAAAAGCAAGAGTCCTCTAAGAAGCTTACTAGCTTTAGAATCCACAACTGAGAAAAGAAGAGTCTTTGAGGTGTATAGGAGAGGTATTCTAGCGCTTGAATGTCTTAACCCTAGAATTTTTAAAATGTTCATATTGTTGTTATTCTCAGAGAAAGGAATTATTACTACAGAAGTCACAGTGGCTTCTGTGAATAACAGGCGTTAAAGCATCATAGTACAGAAAAACCCTAGCTTATGAAGATAAGAAGGTATGAGGCCTACATGTTAGTTGGAAGATGGGTAGCATTCAGCTAAATGATTTTGAAACAAGTCTGTGGCTTTGGCATTCTGTTGATTTTTTTTTTTTTAAGAAGTTTTTGTAGCACAATTTTGGGCTCTCTAATTCTGGTTTGTCTTTCTTCTCTCTCCCTAGTGGACTTGTGTTTATGAATTCCAAGAAGGAGCTCCCGTGCGACCTGTCTCACCTCGCTGTTCCCTACGACTGACTCATTACATTGAAGAAGCCAATGTAGGCAGGGGTTATATCAAAGAACTTTGCTTCAGCCCCGATGGACGAATGGTTTCTTCCCCACATGGCTATGGGATTCGCTTGTTGGGATTTGACAAACAGTGCAGTGAACTTATTGACTGTTTGCCCAAAGAAGCCAGTCCCCTGCGGGTGATCCGTTCTCTCTACTCTCATAATGATGTGGTACTGACAACAAAGTTCTCTCCAACACATTGTCAGATTGCCTCAGGGTGCCTTAGTGGACGGGTTTCTTTGTATCAGCCAAAGTTTTAGGCACAACTTACATCAAGTAAGCAACTCTTCTGGTGTTTGACATAAATTACTTCAATTTAGGTGAAGTATTTTCTTTTTAGATGATATTAAAAGTTTAGATCAAGATCCTGATTCTTATGGGTCCATGAAGACAACTGTGACCTGAGTTCTTGGTTGTCCAGCAGAATAGGGGCCTCGCCAAGTTAGACTCTATGCAGCATCATCTTTTGCAGCATTCCTCAGCTCCTGCTGACCTGTGCCACTGAACGCCAGTTCTCCTGGTTATTTTGCATGGTAGCTCTTGTCAAGTTTCTTTTTCTTTTTTGTTTTTTGATTTTGGTGTGAATTTTGTGGACATGTGACAGGAGTTTTGGTTGGATTAGGAGAAACCTGTGACACTAGAATAAACCCCAAAAGTTTGGTGTTGGCATACTGGTTGTTGAAAAAGAAATTCATCTTCATTTATCAGTATACTTGGCCTTTTAAAGTTGCTGTTATGTTTCTCTATAATGAGCACAGATAATGGCATTATCCTCATAACTGTTAGATAGTCTTACAACAAAATGTCTTTTAAGCTTCCTGTTAAAATTATACATATTTTTTCACCATGAGAGGGTTTTGTTGTGAAATTCTAGAAGAAATATTACCGCCTCTCTTTGTAATTTACTTGTCTGAATTTTAAAATCTCTAGCATGTGTCCTTACTTGATATTTCATTCCTGTCAACAGCATTAGGGAGGAAGAGGGGCAAAGGAATGGGCTTTGGTCATTTCTTTTGTCTAGAAGAGAATTTATTTATTGGATGAGTACACTGTCTGATCGGAGCGATGGAACAGTGTGGCTCAGATTTTCTGTTTTCTCTGCGAGATTATTTGAATCACACAGGATGACATGTTATAGTCCTGGGGTAGAGGGGGAATTGAGAGTAAGTATTTCTCATATTTCTTCCATGAGCCAGGTGGCATAAGGTCAACTGTCTTGCGTTAGTGAGAGGGGAACTGCAGTTCTTTTCAAGCTGTTGGCATAACTGTGGTGTCAGTGACTTGGATGTCAAGACGGAGAGCTGATAAGAAGACCTTTTGTTGTGCTTTGTTGTGGAGCACAGCAAGTAAAAAGCATCGAGCAGAGCTCCAGCCCAAGGCCGACTGCTCTGCTGAAGCAAGCCTCGTTTCCTCTGGTCTCCTCCACTTCGAACTGTGTAGTGTTAGAGGGGATTTGCCAGAGGCTGGAGTAATTTAAATCACATGCTGGCTTTTTCCCTTAGTTCACATTTTCTTAGGCCAGTGATTCTCAAACATTAAGGTACATGATAATCATTGAGGAGCTTGTGAAAATACAGAAAACACCCTCAGCTTAGGAGACTCTGACTTTGCCAGGGAGAGGACAGGAATCTGTATTTTTAACAGGAACACCAAGTAATCTTAATTCAGATGGCCCCTGTTTGTAAAACACTACCTTAAACATCGGTAGATACTTTTGTACCCATCAGGTGCTTCACACAACTCCCAGAAGTTGTTTTGATTATTATTTTTTAAATAATAGGTAAATGAAAGCAATTTTAGAGATAGAAAATAATATAACATGGAATCATCTCATTATTTAAGGAATGAGAGAAGTTAAGTGACTTGCCTAAGGTCATCCTGAAAAATTACTGGCAGAGCCAGGACTTGAATTCAAGTCTCCTAATTCCTTGCTCAGGGCAATTTCTACTGTATTATGCTGTCCGTTAAAATAATGACTTATGAACACTTCATTTTGTCTTTAAGTTGTATTATTGTGAATACCCTTAAACTGGCCAATAGATTGAAAAAAGAAGGCATGGGAGTAGATGCTGAGAATTCCAGCCATAAGAAGAAAAGTATTTTAAATCTTATAGAAATGTTTAAGCAACCGAAGTACATAAATAAAAATGACATTGTTCTTGTAGGGCCTACCAGACAGCCATTCACACACATGTATAGAGGTTACATCTCACTTGGAACAAAGTTGGCACTAGGACAATATTTTTTAAAAGATTTTATTTATTTACTTTTAGAGAGTGGGAAAGGGAGGGAGAACAAGAGGGAGAGAAACAGCAGTGTGTGAGAAAGATAACTATCCATTGCCTCTTGCTCTCGTACACCCTGAACTGGGGACCTGGCCCGCAACCCAGGCATGTGCCCCGACTGGGCAGTGAACTGGTGACCTTTCACTCTACAGAACAACACTCAATCCCCTGAGCCATGCTGGTCAGGATTCTAGGATAAATTTTTAAAATTCGATGAATTTACTATAGATGCTTAAAATTTGGAAATCATTTTCTAAATATTTTTTTATTGGTTGATTTTTAGAGAGAGAGAAAGAGAGATCGATTTGTTGTTCCCCCCATTCATACATTCATTAGTTGATCCTTTTATGTGCCCTGACCCAGGATCAAACCCACAATCTTGACATAATGGGACAATGCTCTAACCCACTGAATTACCCGACAGGGCCTAAAATTTGGCTATTATTTTAGTCATCAAAAAACTTGTGACATAGTACAGTGCATACACAGGTTTGCCATAAACTTTTCAAAAAAAACATTTTAACACTTAAAAGTTTCTTTTAATAACATCTGTATTAGCCTTATAAGACAGTAACTCAAAGACTTGTTTTTTTTACTCCATCCAAAGATAAATTTGTCTTTCAAGCCTTTCTCAAGAGTATCATTTTTAAAAGATTTTATTTATTTATTTTTAAAGAGAGGGGAAGGGAGGGAGACAGGGAGAGAAACAACAATTGGTTGCCTCTTGCATGCCCCGAACTGGGGACCTGGCCAGCGACCCAGGCATGTGCCCTGACTGGGAGCTAAACTGGTAACCTCTTGGTTTGCAGGTCGGCACTCAATCTGCTTAGCCACTCCAGTCAGGGCTCCTGTATATCATTTAAAAAGAAAAAACAAAAATGAGAATTGGGAGGTAACAATTTATTACTGGCTCATTGATAACTTTTGTGTATAAAAATGTATTTCAAAGAAAAGGTCTTGGAGGAAAAAAACACTTAATGCTAACATTAAAAATAAGCTACTGAGTACAATGATTGTATTGATAATCAAAAGAAGATTCCATAAATTACATCCCATTTGGAGAGAGTTACATGTCACATGCTGGGCGCACAGGTTGCCCAACTCTAAACTTCAGTCCATGATTTTTTAACCACTGTGGAGCACCTATCACCTGTCAAGTAATGCACATACTTTATTACTAACCCTCACAGAAACCTTACAAGGTAGGTTTAAGCACCAATTTACTTTGGAGGAAATGGAGGGTCAGAAAGTTTAAGTGCTTTGCCTTAAGTCCCAGAGCTGGGGGGCATCACTGGAATTCAAACCCAGGTCTGTTTTAGTCCAAAACCTGTGCTTACTACCCTACCATTCTGCCCTCTGTAAAGGATGGTAAATGGGCTTGCCAGGTTACTTGTTTAGCATCTTCTGGAAGTTATTTATTACAAAGCTGACTTACCTTCTGCACCATGTGAAAGAACATTTACAAGATTGACAATTTCCATTAGAATTAATACCATAAAACTACAGGGCATACATATAGTCCATTCCTAACTAAAAAACGTAACTCTAAAAGAAAGAAAAATAGAGGATAAACAGCCTTGTATAAAAATAGAGCCACACAGATGAGATTTAAAAATGCACAGTCAAGAAACAACAAAACAACCTTTGTCCTCTTTGAGGTACGGTCATGATCCAACAGCCATCAGGGATATTAATCAAAGAATCAAAAGTCATCAGGAAAGGTGTACATCACATCTTATAATTTCAAGGTTCCATTTCACTTAGAGTATAAAATCTGGAGGTTTTTACTCTAAATTTTATGTAGTCATTTGTAATCATAATTGGTAAGTGTATTTATAATTGGTACTATAGAGTGATTGTTGGCAAGTGTTTTTAAAAGCTTCTGCAGAACAGTATATTTATGGTATTGCTATGTTGAATGAGTTTAGGAACATCAAATATATAGTAGTTCCTAGTTTTAAGTTGTGAAAATGAAGTGGCTCAAGCAGAAGAGACCTCTATTTTAATTATTGAAAATGTGTGTGATCTTGTTTCTCACAAGCCCAAAGAACATGTATATTTTGTTATTTCTCTTTGTAACAAATCCCTGAGAAGAAACTGTACCAAAAATTGTAGGAAAAGAAGCAAGGAAAAGGTAAATCACATGTTCCCCACTCCTATGCCTAGAACCAAGATCACATTATACCATTAGTATTAAAGTCTTGTTTGCTGGAAAGTGCAATATAGAAAAATGTTCTGAGAATCTTATAGAAGCCTAGTGTTTCCCAATTAGAATACATGGTATTGGATCCATAAGTATCTGTTAAACTTGTGAAAAGCAAGAGAAATATTCTGATAACTTACTGATGACAATCATCCCCCATTTAGTGACCAGCAGTCACTGAGAGCTCTGAAATTTCACTGAGTAATACCCTGTGTTGGTGATGAAGGAAAGCGTATATACGAATTTTTAGATAACTAATGTATGTCTCTTAAGTGCCAAATTTTAAAACTTGTAATTATTTTTTAAGTCTTCAGATATGTTAGTATACCTCCCTGCCGCCGCCTTCAGCAGCATGCTCAGTCTAATTCACTTTTTCATGATGAAAAGTAAAAGTTATATTCATGTATCATTACGAATATCCAATGAGCTCTAATGTATATAATTCATAAAATGTAAAGGGCTATAAGAAATATGAGTTAATATCTATTATTTAAAGTGATTCCCTCAGCCCTGAGGTACATGTAGTCATTTGCCTCAGATTGCTGTTGTTATTTAAAAATGTTTTATATCTGCTAAGCAGTTTGTTCTGTCTCCTTCCGCACTACCAATATGCCTGCCTCTCACAGGCTTCCCACTTCCTCCTAATGTGTTAGTTCATCTGTTACGAGCCGGACACGAGATAACCAAGTCAGCTTAGTGTCTGAAGAGCTGGACAAGCTCTGGTGCACAATCTTTGGGAAAGCTCTTGTGGTTGCCTACCAGCTTTCTGACCGGTTCACAATAACCTTCTGGATAATAGAAGTTTCCAATTAAAGCCTAGCCAATGGATTTTTTTTCAGTTGTCACTAAGTAAAATACTACAAACTAATGATGTTGCTAGATTAAGGAATAGACAGCAATGTACCAAAGAATAGCAAAGCAACCACAAAGGCTCTATTTACATGGGGGGCTTTCATGCTTTTAAGGGAAAAAAAATGCAGAGGGAGGAAAAACAATGAAAATAAGATCCAGATAGACTTGAGTATTTTTGATGCCATTAAATTTTTTCAACAACCATTAATATATATGCTTAAATTATCACATGTTGTTAAAAAGACACAGTTTAGTCTCATTGCAGAGTAAGATTGTACCAAAATTCCTAAGAATTTTGCCCATTGGAATCATAATGGAAATTATCAAAAAGAAATTACCAAACTTACCTGCATTCTGCTCTCTTTAGTTGTAAATGAATTAGAGGTAGAAATATGGGTTTTATCAAAAGCTCTAAGGAACACATCTCACATATACACACCTCCTATATGTATGTGTATATAAATGTCACTATAAATGAATATGTCACCCAGAGATAATAAAATAATTTTAAAATTTAAATCTGGTCCAAAGTATTTAAAATAGAATTTTAAGCTTTCCTAAGTTTCTTCCTCATTTAGATTTCACGGTTTTTACATTAAAAATTGAATATTTGAATTTTAAATTTCACTGCATCTTCTATTTCCAAATTGTGCTTTCTGATAAATTTTAGCTTCACATTTTCAGGAAATTTGGAAAGTTGCAGACAATATACCAGACACTAGGAAGTTTCCTCACTGGGCTCTGAGGTGCTAAAGTTCTTATGCTAGACTGTAAGCTCCTTGAGGGCAGGGACTATCTTATTTATTCTTGTGTCCTCAGTGATCGGTACAGGATCTGACAGAGTAGTTGCTCCATAAATGTTTGTTAAATGAATCAAATGAACCACATGTGTGACCTCAAATTCCCATGAAGTACTAAAGGAATCCATCATTTATTATTACAATGAACATACTCTATGCATCAGAGGACTGTTTTTTTCTGACAATAGGTCAGAAAAACTAGGCATTTCTCATTGTCTGGAAAACTGCAAGTTAAGACTCAATTTTTCATTCAACAAACGTTTGAATTCCTACAATGTCCTTAGTCCAGTACTAGGGACTCGAGACAAAGATCGCTGAGGTTTTGGTATTCCACAGCTGCAGCTGACGTAGACTTAGATGGAGGGCTGGCTTCATGGGTGTGTGACTTGTGCTGTCATAGAGGGACTCCCTGCACTGAGACAGGCCTCAGTCTTGGTTTAATGTGCGGACGCCATCTTGAAATTCTTCAATCTTTGAACAAGGGGCCCACATTTCTATTTTTCCCTGGGCTCATAAGTTACGTAGCTGGCCTGGCTTGGATATTATCATTTTGACATAGAGGAAACAAAATAATAAGGATTATATCAAATTATTTTTTCACATTCAGTGAAAACCGCCCATAAAGTAAAATAACTTACAAAATCTAAAATTAAAAACACAAGTACCTCCCTCCCAATAAACTTTTTAACAGATCAAATGTTCTTCATTTAGAATTAGAAAAGTGTTCTAAAAATGTAATTGGCTTTCACCTTTTCAATTGAATTGTCTTTCAGTTTTTCGAATGAATGTATATTTGTAGGTCAATCTATTCTCTACATACATACCTACATACAATTTTAAGGTTTTAACAAACCTTTTATTAATATATGCACTGAATATTTTGGTATAAGTCTACCTCATAATGTGCTTTTAAAAAATAAATACTTTGAAACACATGACACACTTTTTGTGTGTGGTTAACCTGTTTAAAAGGTTGATGGCAAAGTTGCATTTAGCAGTAGTTTGAAAATTTTTGTTTAAATCGCTGAGGTGTTCATCTTTAGACCAGAATCGGGCGCAAAGCTGTGGCAGGGGCAATGGTTTGGTGGTTCTTGTTAGTGAGAGTCCAAACTTTTTCAATCATGTAACCCTATCAGAAAAAATGAGAGAATACACTTCAAATTTTGATTATTTATAAATTATGTGTATATATACATATATGTACATTATAAAACATGTACAGATTTAAGGAACCTGTAAAAAAAATAAGATAAAAAAATCAACCTCTTCCAGAGGTCACCTTGTGCTTCCACTGGTATGTGCATGTTCCATTTTGTGACGGCCAGTGTTCTAAGTCAGAGAACGGGCATTTTACACTGAAAACACATTTACTAAGATCTGATCCATTCATATCTGTTCATTAATGTCCTGGCCATTTACAAGTTTATTCGATATGAATTATGTTTTGTAGAGTTTTATAAATTAGTTCTTTTTCAGTGAAAATTGTATTCATATAAATAGAAAGCATAGTTGATAAATTTTTACTTGTTTGTCAAGCTGTATACAGTGATTGATTGGTTCTCATGTAGACAAATTAGAACATGCTATTTTTTTTTCAGTGTTCTCTAGGATGACTTTTTTTGTATTATTTAACAGTATGATTGTGGTTCATTTTACCATACCATTTTAATTCACTAGAAAAATGACAATCAAATTTGGAACACTCACTTTTTTGGTAAGTCATTGAAGAGAAAAATAGAAGGAATCCCTTTTGATTATTTTGTGAAATAAACCATTTATATAAGCTGATTTAACTAACAATAGCATAATTACTACTATTTCAGTTATTCCTATGACTGACATGCTATGGGCTATTTAAAAATAGATTTTTTTTAATTTAAAAGGAAATGGTTATTTGACATGCACTTATACCAGTGAGTCAACAATTTATATTAGTTTCCTGTTACTGGTGCAACAAATTACCACAAACTTAGTGGCTAAAACAACACAAATTTATGTCCATTGAGTTCTCTTCCAGGCCCTCCTTCTGGCAGAGGACAGGAAAAGTGGTGCACAAACTCGATTCCCTGGGAGGGCTTATCAAAACACAGATGGCTGGGTCCACACCCAGAGTTCCCGAGTTCGTAGGTCTGGGGTGAGAGCCCCCATTTTGGATTTCTAACCAGTTCCCTGTTGCTGCCCTAGGTCTGGAAACCCATTTGAGTACTATGGATATTGAAAACGCAGTCAAGAATTTAGATTTCTCGTGGATGACAGATCCCAAGGATCTTTTTGTAGATAAGGAAGCCAGTTTAAAGACCTTAACTCTGTAGGTCGATATGGTGGATGGACAACAGGCATCCCATCAGCTACACCGTGTAGTACGGTTGTCAAGTTGGCAGTTTGTCAGCAAGAGCCAAGACTTTCCTAATTTTAACATGATGTTTAAGTTACTGAGCAGCTAATTTCAGCTAAGATCATCCCACCTTCTCAGAAACAGAGTGGAACAGACTGGTGCTGTGAGGCTTGTCTCCTCAGAAAGAGGAGCACTGCTGCAGAAAGACACACGCCTTGTGCGGCTGTGAGGAGCTGCAACTGCAGAAAAGGAATAGGAACTAACCAGGGCAGAGGCAAGGCAAAACATTTTTTAACCTCTTTTGGAGAAATAGCTGTTTCCATTGAAAACCATTTCAGTTATGGGTGCACTACACTGCTGCATTGACATGAACTTGCAAAAGCCCTTTACCATAAAATGTTAGTCTTTGGACAGGATGAAGGACCCATATTTCATTATGAAAGGATTACTTTTTCAAAGTTAAATACAAAGTATCAGATCTATTCTGAATACATTGTATTTATTAAGCAGTTATTACCCAAATAGTATTTTTGTGTGTATACTTAATAAATATATACAATTAATGGAAGGATTTTCTGGCATTTGTTGAAAGTTGCAGTGTATTGGCAGGAAAATCATGATTCCTACCCTGGTCCCTTCAAGGGGTAGGTATACTCCTCACCTCTGGGGTAGCTCAATAAAAAAATAAGTTGATTAGGCTCTATTTTTTCCACCAGCCCTGTCACAATCTGTGGGTGGTATTCTGGGCCTGGGGGGAGGGAGGAGGTAGCTGCCATATCATGATTTGAGGGAAGAATAAGAGAATTACTAGGCCATAGGCTTTATTGCCCTCTAGCAAGTATTTCTGTAGTATTGATACCCTATGACTTCATGGCAGTCTAAGAATGGCTAACATACTAACAACTAAACTGAGTCAACATATTGCTAACATCAAATATTGCGATAAGCCCCCTAATGATTTTTATCAACATTTTATTATGAAAATGTTCAAACATACAAAGTTGAATTTTACAGTGAACATGTTTACCAAGATTATACCATTAACATTTTATTATGCTTGTTGTATCACTTATCTAATATGCCAATTTATGTATTTTGAATAAATTGCACATATCTATACCTATCCTTCTAAAAATCCTCAGCAATATATATCATTAACTAAAGTTCAGTATTTTCTTTTGTTGAAAAGTTTCCCTATGATTGAAGCCCACAAATATAAACGGCATAGCCTCTGGGTTTATACAAATGGATACACATGTGTAACTCAAACCCATGTCAAGATATAGATAACTACCGTCACCCCTGCAAGTTCCCTCATGCCCCTTCCCAGTTAAGTCCCTCCCCCTCCCTCCCAGAGACAGCCACTGTTTTTCCCCTCATAGATTTGCCTGAACTTCATATGAATGGAATCATATGCATTCCCCAGGATGATTTTTAAAAGACATATTCCTAAGAAAATCAGTCTCTGCAACAGAGCAATAGCAATAAAGACAATGTCTGGGATCAGATTATGACTTATTCATTGAACAGATATGAGAATCTCTAGTCTGTGGATACAAAGGTCAGAAGACAGTCCCTGCCCTCAATAAATTCACAGGGACTGAAGGATGCAGTGTAAGCACCACGGAGAGAGTGCGGCTGAGACATTCAGCCCAGACCACGGGAGATCTCGCTGAGGCATCCAGGGAGCTTTAAATTTTGACTTTGGAACTTGTTTCAGTCATCCTATGCCGTATATTTCCACAAGTCTAGACTCAAAATGATTTGTCTTTAAATAGGGTCACTTTTATAGTGCTGAGATGTAAGGCAAATTTGTTAAAGAAGAAACTATAAAAGGCACAAATTGAAATTATTGTCTGTTTTTCTCTAGCTTGAGTTTATATACACTCAAGTGTATTTAGTATTGTCCCCGGACACAAAAACAACATTGCTATCCTATTCCTGCTTTGAAGAGCTCCAAAAGGCAACAGGAAATGTTCCATCATCTTGCACTCAGCCTTAGCTTGCTCAAACCTAGTGCATCTCCACGTTCAGGCCCTCATCTAACTTCTTTACTCTTTACCTTCATATTTTACACACGAATTACAAAAGTATTGTACTTGTGTCCCATACATACCCACTGTTTCCTAGTATGTCCCTCTTGAAACTCTATGACTGTTTCCTAGTGAGGAGTAAGCAGTGGGGAGCCCAAGGAACCCTGAAAAATTATTTTTTTAATCACTCTTCCCAGAAAACTAGGAGAGGGGTTAAGGAAAGTTTTGAAGCTTTTTTCCCCCAAGGAAAGAACGCTCTGTATCAGAAGCCACCTGTTACCATAGATATGATGACCCTTGAAAGAGAAATAAGTTCCTTTTTCCTATCATGTGAAGCAAAAAGGTAGCATCTCATTTTAACTAAATCCATTCCCTTTTTGTGGTGTACTTTTTATCAGGAGCAAGTAACTGCTGACCAATCATGACTGGTTTTATTTTTGTTGATTAAAGGTAGACGAGTTTGCTCTAAACAAGTACAAGTTACCACCTTCATGGCTCTTCTACGGTAACAGAGTGGTGCTCAATGACACTAATTACTTTAAGAAACTTTCTTATTGTCCTTCTCGGTCAACCTCATTGAGCTTAGTTCCACAATTCATAAACAGTATAAGGAGGAATAAGAAAAATGGAGTGCCCGTACATACTTGTACAATCCTGACTCCTGCATAAACGGTGTTTTGGTCTCAAGTTGGCTAGACGTTTACTTCTCAGACTAAGGGATAGCTGACAGCATGAGAGAGGAAAGTCAGCACTAATCAGTCATTTAGCTCATATATGTTATGGACTTCATTTGTGTCCCCCCCAGAACTAGTAGGTTGAAGCCTTACCACCACCGCCCCCATGTGATGGTATTTGTAAATGGGGTCTTTGGGAGGTAATTAGGTTTCGATGAGGTCATGAGGCTCTCTCTTCCATGACAAGCCTGCACAGCGAGAGGCCTCTCACCAGGAACCAAATCTGCCGGCGCCTGCTCTTGGACTTCCCAGCCTCCGGAACTGTGAGAAATGTCTTTTTTAAGCCACCCATTCCATGGTATTTCATTCTGGCAGCCCAAGCAGTGTCAGTGTAAAAATTCTTTCCTTAACCTCCATGGCCCATCAAGGAATGAAGGTCAGACAGTGTATTCCAGAGTGCTGTAATCCTGAATATCCACGTGTCCCTTGAGTCTCTTGATTCTTAGAGAAGTATTTATCAGCTATCTACTAGGTGTCAGCTCCTGTGCCAGACGCTGGAAACACTGGAGAGCAGAGCAGAATCCCTGCCTTATGGAGCTGGCATTTGAAAGGGGCAAGAGGCTTCAAGTAGCCACAGTTAAAACAGGGATGTTGTAGCATAAGAACATGTAAGAGGGGTCCTCCACGTGTGAGCCGTCTTCCCTGAAGAAGTGACTTTCGATCTCAATCTCAAGCCCTCAGGAGTTACTGAGTCAGGGAAAGGTGCAGTGCTCAGGCGGAGGAACTGTGCACGGGCAAAGGCCAGGAGGCCAAGAGTACAGAAGTTGTGCCGAGGGCTGGGGCTGGACGGCGCAGTGTTAGCTGGAGATGAGCAGAGGTGGCAGAGGCTGAGTCATCTAAAATAACTACTCTGTCAGCAATCTGAAGAATGGATTGAAGAATTTAGAGAAGTATCCTCCATTTCTGCTTCAAAATCAGATACACTCATCTGGAAAAAAGTTCCCTGTTGGAAGCTTCAGTTGCTGAATGGACGAAGTTGGGAACCAGGCTCTGGGGAGCTCAGGCGGGCTGAGGCTGTGCCAGCTCCTTGGTCCGCTCACCGTCCCAGCTTGAGCCAGGCCGGCACTCTCTGCATACTCCCTGCATTCTGTGGTCCTACAGTGGCTGCTGCTGGTGGGTGATAAACTATTTCATCAGATGCCATGCAACACACTCATCAATTCTAAAGTTCAGGAAATTCACTTTTGCAATTAATTTCTACCCTAAACTAGAGTTTCTGGAACATTTCCCAGCAACTGCTCCCTTACCTAGTGGTCCTCATTCAGGGTACCTCAACTACCCCTAGACACAGGGAGCACCTTACAATTTAACATGTAAACCAAAAGTGTAGCTAACGTAACTTCACTAGAACAGAAAGCAGCAACTATGAGGTTAAAAAGGAGGTATGAAAATCAGGAAAAGCACCAACACCCAGGCCATTTACCTGGGGGTAAGCATGACCTGAAGGTACATGGTTGCAACAGAAATTACTGGTAAGCTGAATTTACCATTATACTCAGTAGGAGAAAAAATGGTTTACAGTTTAGCTATCTGGAATATTATCTGGAACTTAATTTTTTTTATCTTCACTCAAGGACATTTTTTTCATTGCTTTGAGAGAGGGAGAAACATTGATGCAAGAGAGAAGCATCAATAGTTGCCTCCCATTTGGAACTGGGCTGGGGACCAAACCCACAATCTAGGCTATATGCCCTGATGGAGAATGGAACCTGCAACTTTTTGGTTACATGATGACACTCCAACCAACTGAGCCACACTGGCCAGGACTGGAACTCCTCTTGATCAAAGATGAATAAATGAAGGATTGTTTAATCTACAGTCATCAGGTGAAGGTGCTAATAGTCAAAGTAGTGTGCTATACGTATTATCAACAAAAAACTAATAGATCAATTTAGCACACACACAAGTATGCAACTAACTCTAACCCAACCACAAGAGAACACCAAATGGACTTTAAAAAAAAAAAAACAACTTTATTCCAAAAAGAATTACCAAAAAAAGCATGTTAACTCTGAAACATTTAACAGGTTTCATTTAAACTCACATAGTTGCAAAATTCAAAATATCAAACAAAAACAGCTTTATTGCTTAACCACTTTCAATGAAACTTTTAAAACTGAACATGTAGAGGCTGCCCCACAATTTGGGAGCTGTTTATGCAAATATTTAATATTAAGCTAAAAAAAGCATGAAAAACTAAAAGCCTCAAATTTTAGAATGCCCGTACAAGTCTTTGATATGCACTTATATGCATGGGAAAAGAGATAGCATTTTAATTTAGAAGAAATCAAGTCTCTCTTCAGGAGTGATCCCCTGTCTCGCCTTCATTTTGACTGCATACCCTCCACGCTGCACACTCCATCTGCAGTGAACCAGCACTGGTCAACAGGGCTGGCTTACCCTGAAGCCCTCTAGATCCCACTCCATACGCCCTGTCTACCACCTCCTATTCCCTTACATGTCTGCACAGCTCTCTGAGTATTACCACTGTAATTAAGGAATTTCAGGTCTTCGGTGACTGTAATTGCACAATTCTGTTCGACCACACAGTTCACAATATATGGCAGGGGATAATAAAACTGTAAGGTAAGATAAATATTGACTACTGAGACAAAAGCATCCACCTACTCTCCAACACGAACATGCCACCATACAGAGGTTATGTGTACTCTGTGGTGCAGTCCTGAGGGCGCATGTCGCTCAGTGTGTGTTAATTATGGAATCCGTAACACCGGGCATGAAGCACAGGAGGCACGACCGAAGTGCCCTGTGCTCATGAGCAGTCTGTGTCACATACACAACAGAAAGGGCCATTTTTAAAGCTTTTCAAATGGTTATTCAATCATATTTGTCTTTTCAAAATTGCTGTACTAGTTTACACTGAAGGTAAAAACAATAGTTAGAATCTTATTAACACATTTTGCCTTAAAGTTCAGACAAAGCTGTTAGAGACAAGTCCTGTTGGCAATTTGTCAAATTTAAGAAATCTATATAGCACAACACAAAACCATCCCTGGTAACGTATTTGCAATTTGGTCTTCAAAAGCTGTAAAAACAAAGAAATCCCGAAAAGGTATGAGTTAAAACCATTAAAAATATTTATTGTTTGCAAATGCCACATATTTGAGACAGCAGGAATCAAAGCATCCTCCTTCAAATTCTCACCTCACTTGTATTTCACAGAAGTGCTTTAGAACTTAGATTTCTACCATCTGCATGGAGTGTATAGACAAAAGGAAGCCTGTGGAACCCAAGGCCATGGAGCCCTTTCCCAGGGCCAGGACCTGACCCCAGGCTAACACACCTGCCACACGCTGAGCACCTAGACATGCCCAGTACTCAGGGACACACACATGAGTGAGGGGGCCAGGCACCACAGTACCACTGCCGTTCATTTCTGAAAGAGCCACTTCAAATGCTGAATTGACTATTTGATAGGCCAAAGGATGCTACTCACATTTATTTGGTGACATTGTTTTCGGCAATTTTTACATTTGCACCTTTGTTGCTGAAGTAAACTGCCATTTATAGTACCTTGTCAAACACAGCTGTTGTAAATCTCCTGAGCTTGATTACTGCCTAACAAATACTTGATTATGCTTTCTAATCCTTTTGGTTGGAAGAATGTTTATTTGACCAGCCATACTGTATGTAGAGGTAAACATCTTTTTTTGGACTATCTGCCCAGAAACTGAGTAAACTACCAATTGAGACCTTGATTTTATTTTGGTCAGTAGGTGCACATTTCCATATGCAATTACTCAGAATGACGAAAAACTAGTAATAAGAAACCTACTATGTCAGATGCTGGAAAGCAGTCTTGATCACAGATTTACAGATGTAGGTTTTTAAAAGATAAATGGCTTTTCTAGATGTTTTGTTTTATTAATTATTCAATTGGTACATGAATCATTTTGCCTTGTTTATCTGGAAAAAGTATTTTAAAATCTGATTCCTTTGATAATATAAATTCTTGTGAGGTAAGGCATGAGTAATCAACCTATCCAGCTATTTTATCAACTTCTAGAAATTTAAAATTAACCCTTTAAATATCTTTATTTAGGTCTTCTCCTCTCAAACTGTTTTAGTGATAAAACGGTAAAATTGGGTTCCCAAAATGTAAAAATCCTAAGAGAAGTTTCTATTCCCAAGAGTAAAATTTAAAAAAGAAAAAAAAAAAAAGCAGCTAACACTGTGGGTGAAAGCTATCCTGATTTTTCCCCCTCCCCCAAAACATTTAGAAACCAGAGAAAAATCTGAGATTCCTATTAGACTTCTAAAATAAAATTGTATGGCAGTGGTTTTTTTTGTTTTTGTTTTTGTTTTTTTAAAAAAAAGGAGTTTCAAGAGAATAGAATACTTGAATAAGACAAACTACTATCTAAAGGGGAAAAAATATCCAAAGCTGTTTACTAAGTTGGCAACAATAACTCAAAGAAATTGAGCTAAAGAACCCTGACTGGAGTGGCTCAGTTGGTTGGGCATCATCTTGCAGAGCAAAAGATCACTGGTTCGATTCTGGGTTGGGGCACATCCTTCGGTTACAGGTTTGGTCCCCGTTTGGGGTACATATGAGAGGCAACCAATTGATTTTTCTCTCCATTTCTCCCTCCCTTCCCCTCTCTCTAAAAAAATAAAATCTTTAAAAGAAAGAAACTGAGCTAAAGAGAGTTGGATCTGAATGAAATTAATACAAAAACTTAGGATGAAATGCCTGTAATAAAATTTAAGTCTCCTCATCTTTTGGCTATAAGTGAAATTGACATAGGATGTTTTGGACAGGTTTAAGGTCATATTCAGAACTAAACAGAAAACCCTTAAACCTAGAAAGCAAAATGGGAGCTTTCATTACCTGCTTGAGTCTACCATGTCTGAATAGAAATAGTTTAGATAATGACTATCCCAACAGGTGCTTTGTTTCAAAATCTAATACAGGCAATTTATCATGAAAAAGCCTATGCCTATTCAGCTCTTCTCTCTTGTGCTCCTTTGTCCTCTGGTGTACATGCTTAAGTTTAGCAAAGACTACCCTTTGCAGCTCCTAAGAACACAGAAGCAAGAAATGGAGTAATAAAAGCAAGCCTGAGAATTCAAGGGACCTTAAGAACCTTTTCTCTGGCTGGTGATGGCCGCTTATGTTTCAACAGAGAAGGTTTAAAGACTTTGGGGAAAAAGACCATCTTGGCTATTGGTTTCCTTGTCAAAAGCCATCCATCAGATAAAACAGCTATTAACCAGGAAATCAGCCTATAGTTCTCAGGTAGTAATTAGAATAAAACCCAAAAAACCAAAACCCCAAACCCTTAAATTTTCCTATTGAAGTATTTTATTCTGAATTTGTTGGTGCTTAAGGAAAACAGCTTTGCCCATAATTCACTGTGCCCTGAACTTATGACACCAACTTATATTTTGCCAATTAGGAACAAGGCCAAACAGCTTTCTTCTTTGAAGGTGTAGCCAGTTAATAAATGGCATGTAACTGATGACTTCTTTCATATAACCTTTAACAAGAATTCATAAGTTGCATTGATTATGCCCCAAGAGATGAGGGACCGATGGTAATTCAGATGGGCACCTCTGAAAAGGTTGGTCAGTTTCCTGTCCCGTTCTAACCAGATTTTTTTGAAAACCTTCGGAAAAGACTGAAACTCCCCACCAATCTGAGACTGCATGCGAGTTTTTACAACATTAAGCGGAAAAAACAAGATTCCCAACATGGCACCCAGCAGACCTCCACAGATAAAATCAGTGACCAAATGAGCCCCGTGAGTTGTTGCAGTGGGCAGGTGCTCCTTAATAGGACCCCGAAGGCCAAAGAACAGGACATTGCTGAAGCCATTGCGGAAAAGAACAGGTGTCAAGCCTCGGTAATATTCTCCAATTCCATGGCATTTCAGTGCTTTGAAAGCCTGGTAAGTATTTGTAAATTTGTCATGATGCTTGTGGTCCTGAAGCAATGTCTGAACTCTTTCAAATGGAGTGAAAATTGCTTCTGTTGTCCCTGCAAGTAATGCTGCCATGCTACGGGTTACAAACTCTGGGGTACTGAGATGCTTGCGGAGGAGGCAAGATAAATCCTCATACAGACCAAACATAAGTGCTAGTGTTGTTGTCTTCTGCATTAAAGGGGGAAGGATTCCGCGATACAGGTTTCGAAATCCATCCCTCCTCAACTGAAGCACTGCATCTCTGGTTTTGATTCCATAAAGCTGTTGCCGAAAGAGGACCTTCTGAATGGGGTATGTGATCGCTACATTGTTGAAAGCTGCACAGTAGCCACACAAATAATGTTTCATTTCGCCAACATCTGTAATATGAGGTGATATATCTTGCTTTGAAGATGTTATGATAGGAGACCTCTTTTCATGAGCTTCTGAATCCATCATGTGGCTTAAGATCTTTCTTCTTCATGAAGGATTTTTTTAACCTATAAATAATAAAATGACAGTAGGTAAACCTTTAAATACAGTGTTGTATTTTCAGAGGACCCCCAGAAATCCCCCCTTTTCCAACTACATACTATGTGAAGTTGGATTTTTTGCGTGTACTTCGACCAAAACAACTTAGACTGAATGCAGAAGCACATGAGACCCTACCTATCTTTTTAAGTCAGACATTAAAGAAACTTGCGAAACTCTAAAATACGCTCTTTAATATTTTCTTTTGAAGTTACTTTTCATGAAAATGTGTTTATAGTAACATGAGTTTATCGTTACTATAATGTAAATTGACAAATATTTTTAAATTTTAAGACCACGAGTATTTATCCACATAAAGGCTCTTTGGCATCCACTGTACTTTTTAAGTGTAAAGGGTTCCTGAGACTAAAAAATTGGAGAACCACTGGCCTGGCTCATACAGACTGTCTACATTACATAATAGTATATATCATTATCCTTCTGAAACAAAGTCCTTGATTACTTGATCCTTTATTTCCTGAGAAATAAAATAGCAAGACATGCATTCAATCATTGTGTTCACTAACGCTTACACAGTACCTACTCTGAACTAGGCCCTCTGCTAAGTGCTCATTATTCAAAGACAAGGAACTAACAATTCAACAGGAGACCGCCAAGGTGAACAATGACACCACAGTGTAATATCTTCTATGACAAATGTGCCATGGGAACACAGGTAAGGGACACCAAACAAGCACTTTGAGAAGTGGAGCCTGGGAAAACAGGGTTGAAGAAGGCCTGAAGGCATGTACTCTACACTGTATTACCATGAATTTAATTCTCAAAACAACTCCATAAATATTATTTTCCTAGCTTTACCAATGAAATGACCAACACTCTGCTTTGTCCAAGGTACAGTTAATTACTGGTGGAGCTGGCATCTTGAAATGAAATCTGACACTCTAGGGTTCTTGTTCCTGCTATCATACCTCAGATGGCAATGACTTTGGGAGGTTACCTCGAGACAGACAGCGGCTGTAACAGACCATGCTCAAAACGATTTGAAGCCTAAATATATAGACTGTGGCCACTCGGTAGAACTAAGGCAAAATTCTACCCCTAGAATATACCTGTTTCCTTAAAATGGCAAGATTATTCTCGCCAGTCATCTAAAGCCAACTTTCCCTACAAAAGGATGCATAGTTAGGTCATCCAGAACACTTCCTGTATCTCAGAAATAGTCACAGAAATTACCTTTCGTTGGGAACATGTTAATTTCATATTTTAGATGTATCAGGCTAAATATTTCAAAATTGTTTAAATTCCTCAATAGTAAAACATCACATGTAACTATGACTCAACAAAAAATTAAACAACCCGATTTACAATGAGCAAAGGACTTGAGAAGACATTTCTGCAAAGCAGATACACAAATGATCAACAAGTCTATGAAAAGATGATTGACATCACTGATCAGGGAAATGCAATTCAAAACCACAAAGAAGTATCACCTCATATCCAGTAGTTTAGCCCCTACTAAAAAAAGAAAAGGAAGGGAGGGAAGGGGGAGGGAAAGGGGAAGAGAAAAGAAAAGAATAACAAATATTGGTGGGGATGTAGAGACTTTGGAGCCCTTGTGCAGTTGGTGGGAATGTAAAATGGTGCAACCACTATAGAAAACTGTATGGCGCGCCCTGGCCAGTGTGGCTCCACTGGGCGGAGTTCCGTCCCATGGACCGAAAAGGTTGCAGGTCTGAATCCTGATCAGGGCGCACATCCAGGTGGCAGGGTTTAACGCCCAGCTCTGGCTCGTACAAGGAGGCAATCAACTGATGTTTCTGTTTCTCTTATTCTCCCTTACCCCTTCCTCTCTCTCTAAAGCAGTGAATAAATGTCCTCGAGTGAGGATCAGAAAAAAAAATTATGGTCGTTCTTCCATTCTTCAAAAACATTTAGAATAGAATTACCATATAATCCAGCAATCCCACTTCTGGATATATATTCAAAAAAGAAGGAAATCCTGTCACATGTGGATGGAAACGTGAGGACATTATGCTGAGTAAGATAAGCCAGTCATAAAAGGACAAATAACTATGATTCCACTTCCATGAAGTACCTAAAGCAGTCAAATTCAGAGACAGAAAGTAGAATGGTGATTACCAGGGGCCGGGAAAAAGGGGAACACGGACTTATTGTTTAAAAAATGGTTAGTTTCCGTTCTGCAAGATGAGTGAGTTCTGGAGATCTGTTTTCTAAAAGTGTAAATACATATTACTGAACTGTACAATTAAAATGGGTTAAGATGGTAACTTTTTATGATTTTTACCACACACATGACTACATGTAAGGGTTTCAATAATACATAAATATTGAATAAAAAACCAAAAGAGACTAAGATAGTCCATCTATGTCTTTGACTTATGAAAAAACCCCAAGTTTGTTATGTTTTTTCCTTCCCCATGCCACACGTCACTGTAAACTGCTCAACCTTCTTCCTCGGTGACACGAGCTGAGACAATGCTGAGATGATGCGGTGAAGGGAGGTGAACGACGCGGGCACCGTGACGCAGCGTTCGGCCGCTACGAAGATTTACTGGAACACAAACACTGTGAGACGACGACCGTTACTCTAACAACCGAGGGGGTAAGAGACCAGTGGGAGGGGTAGAGTATACAGCGCGGATACACAGGACAAGGAGAGGACTAGCGTCCTGGGGAGAGAGCATGGGATTTCATCATGCCGCTCAGAATAACCTGCGATTTAAAACTTATGTTTACTTCTTAAATTCTCCATTTAATATTTTCGAATTTTGGTTGACCATGGTAGTCGAAACTGGGAATAAGGGGATCACTGTACTTGAGTTATGTCCTGCCAGAGCATAATACAGATGGGAGACGGATGGGTGACAAATAAGATGGACGATCAGGCCAGGACCTGCTAGGAGAGACCCTCAGGGAGATCCCAAGACCCTCTGACGCTATGTACTATTTTTTTTTTCCTTTCTTATGTGGAACGAATGGAAATAAACTATTTTCCTTAAGTAAGTCACACCAATATCTGTGTGTCCTTTTCCCTGAAGACAGACTACACTAGGAAAATGTAATGCGCGCACATTTTGGCCCAAAGCCACTTTGGCGTTCGAGCTGGCTAGCCCTCACGTTTCTATTAGAAAAGATAAACTTTCCCTCGGATGTGAGGCATTATGACTGGACACCATTTCAGGCCCAAAGTCTGCCTTAAGGAAGGTAATAAAAGGGGTCAGGAAACTTTTCTCCCCACTGAGTCCCTGGTCACACCTACGGCAGTGGTGCCAGGGCTCCAGCCTTTCATGCCCACACCCACGGGCAGCAAAACACTTTGCCCACTGAGGAAACCTCACTTTTGGCAGAGGGCTAGAAGCAGTGGGACCTACACCTAAATGCTGTTCAGCATCGTCATGGATGGGGAATAAAGGGACAATAAAAACTGTCCCCTGGTGTTCTGAAAATTGGTTCCACTATAACTGAAATAATCAAAGTAAGACCTGTCTTAGACAAACTATTTCTGATTTTGGCAGGTATGACAGCAACTCTCGATCATGAGAAGCCAGATTCCTTGGAGTTGGAATCCAAATAAATCAACTGGAGTAGATCCAGTAAAACAACAAATGAATCACTTAGGCAATTATTCATAAAAGAATGTATTTATTTTAGAAAAATTTACACATTAAATTTATGCATTAAAGTACATATTTTAAAAAGATGCTTTTTTTTTTTTAAAGAGAAAAATGGAATTCTCAATCAGTTAAATATATAGACAGCCTCTTCTGCAGGCAAACTGTCCCGGCTCACGTCCTCTGGACCTGCGGCCCGACTAGTGAGACAGCCTCTTCACTAGCCAGCCCGACGCTAGTCACACTGACTCCACTACTCCTCACTCCTGCCAACCTGCCCTTCGTTTTAAAAATACACCAAAAGAACATACTATTAAGTAAAAAAAAAAACCAACACAAAGGGTGTTCAACAATGCATTCTGGAATGTCCTAATAATAGCACAGATACACCAGTGTTTTGAATGGTTGCACAGTATTCTATCAAATAGAGTATATAATTATATATACATGTATTATGTAAGTATATTATAATCTATGTCCTATTTATGATTACTTTTTTTGACTTTCGTTTGGTTTTTTGCTTTTAAACAATGCTGCAATGAGCAGTTCTGTGCCTATACCTTGCTTGGCTGAACCCTCCCAAGTGTATCTGTAGGGTAAATCTTTACAATAGGAGTGCTGGTTCAAAGAGTAATGCATTTTAATTTGATAGCTCCTCCAAACTGCCTGCAGAAAACCTGTGATTTACATTTCCATTAAGTGTATGCCAGTACCAAGCTCCCTACCACTTTCAGCATCAGGTATTATTAAACTGCAATTTCTGCCAAAGTGATGGGTGAAACAAAATGTCATTTTGCCATTTAAAATTTTTGGATAAAATCCAGCATTTTTCATTTTAATTGACTATTTGCATTTCACTATAGATTTTCATGTTATCCATTTTTCTGTATGTACTTTGTTTTTTCTGATTTGTGAAACTTATTTGCATATGAAGAAAAGCAACCCTGTATTAACCAAATTGTGACAAATACTTTCCCCACTTTGTATCATTTTTATGATACTGAGAGTTTTAACTGGATATTAAATCTATTGATCTTAGCTTCTAGGTTTTGCGTCCTTCTTGGAAGGCCTTCATTATTCATTACTCTAAAATTTTAAACAAGTAATCTATGCCTCCTTCCACAACTTTTATGGCTTCAATTATCTGTTCTGTAATCTCTCTGGAATTTCAGTTTAAAAAGTGAGGCAAAGATAAGAGGAGCACAATCTAAATACCCACAGGCACTTTGTACTTATTTCTGCGCTCCATTCTGCTCAACCACTGGCCTACTATTTCTTCCCTTACAGCAACTGCTTTAACCTCCTGAGGCATCGGAACAGATTTCATTACGCAGTAAGGCTTCCCCTTCTACTCTTCTATCAGAATTATCAGCTTTATGGGCTCTTTTACTTTTCCAGATAAAACTTTACAGTATTTTTGTTGTTATTCCTTCCCAAAATCTTCTTGGTATTTTATAGTGAAAATGACTATAAATTTGAAGAACTTTTCCAAAATTGAACCTTACTTTACAATGACATGATGTCTTCCTATTCACTTACATCTTTTTACAAACCTTAGTGGCATTTAGAATTTTTCATATAGATCTTGAATATATCTAGGTATTTTACCTTTTTGGTCACTATTATGAATGGGCTATTTTTTTTCCAATTAATTTTCTAACTGCTTTTTATCTGCATATGAAAAAGGTACCAATTCTTTTATTTTTAAGGTTAGAACCAGCCAACTTACCAAATCTTCTATTTCTCATTGTTTTTGGTGGATCTGCTTTAATTTCCACTACACATAATACGTTTCATGAGTTTTGCCTTCTTTATAACATGTATCTTTCTTTTTTCTACTTTCCTTAACAAAATTAAATTATAGTACTAGTGAACATCCTGATATTTTTCTTGGCATCTGTGGGAACTCTGCTAGGGATTACTGTTAATCATGATACTGGCTTTTGGTTTGAGAAACAGGGAGTTCCTGTCATCTGAGTGTTCAAAATTCAAATCCTAGCAGTTTCAAATTTATATAGCGAAATAAGTTATCATGACACAGAAATGTTCCCACTCTATATTCCCTTGTTTATGGTCTATCCCTTCCCACCTTTAGGGCTGTGCTGTACACATGAAGTGAAGCATGTCTTTTTGGTGCTATAATTTCATCTGACAAATTATGCTAAGAACTATAAAACTTCATTCTGCAATAATTCTAAGAATTTGTATAGTATCTGCAATTATACTGCAAGCTCTGCCCACCTCTGTTTACTAGGAAATTAAGTTCCAAATACAAATGGATTCCATTTTTTCTAATACTAATAACCACCTAAGAATAGGGCCTCTTAGAGAGTTTTCAAACATGGGAAGGGAGTGTACATTACTCCTGTTTTACTAAAGTTCCTCCACCTCCACTCCTTTCCAGAAACACTAAATCCAAAATCTATCTTGAACTTTGATCAAATGCTTTTAGGAAGCAACTGAGATCATCATATGGATCCTGGAAGCAGAGCCAAGTGTTAACATTTAAGAGCTACAGTTAATTGCTTGAGCTCAAATCCTGGCTCCACCATATAGCTACTGTGTGACCTTCAACAAATTACTCAATGTCTCCACAGCTTAGTTTTCTCATTTATAAAATCAGGATGTTACCTACCTCACAGGCCGGTTAATTACTGTAAAGCACCTAGGAGAGGAGTCTGGGACACAACTGGTGTCAACAAGGATAAACTATCATGATTGTTCTTTTCTGATACATTTATTTGGTACATACATTAGCATGTTTGTTTGTAATTACTCTCCCTTGTAATATGGGTATGAATCCTATTTCACCATAGTGAAATAGTCTTTTAACGTATTGCTAAATACCACTGGCTAATATTTTATTTTAAAACTTCACATTATTATTCATAACAAAGTTTTCAATTCCTTACTATCATGTTAAGCACAGGTACCAATGTTCAACTGGCTTGTAAAAGGAATCTTAATGTTTCCATCTTTATGATTTGAACAATTCAATTCTTATCAAAATTATCTTTTCCTTCAAAGTTAAAAAAATGCACCTGTAGAAGGGGAATATAGCCAGTAATACATTGTGGTAAGTTTGCACAGTGACAAGTGATTACTAGACTTACTGAGGGGACCACACTGTAGTGTTAAGGTATGTAAATGTTGAATATTGTGCACCTGAAAGTAATATAACATTGTATACCAACTATACTTACAGAACAAAACAAAACAAATTCACCTGTAACACCATCTGGGCCTGGTGTTTTGAGGAATGGTAGCTTTTTGATAACATTCTCAATTTCCTCCATTGTTAGTGGTCTGTTAGGTTCCCTTTTCTGGAGTCAATTTTGATAGCTGGATGTCCTTTAAAAGAAAATTCTGGTTTATTTATATAGTCTTATAAAGCACTTGCTATTTTTTTTTTAAATACATCTAATCTTATGTACTTATAGTGTTCCTTGAGCAGGGTAGTCAGTTTATCTAGTTTACATTCTTCCTTTCTGGGCAAAGAACCAGCATTTCCCAATTTTAAGATTTTTCAGTTTTTAAATGTTTTTCCTCTTGATCATCACTTTTCTGCTGCTTTGTCTACGTTTATTTTTATTTATTCTTTGATTCATAATTTTAGTGTTTAAGGCTATACGTTTTTCTTTCAGCAAAACTGTTCTTACTTTCTAAGATATTCTGTGGGGAATTTTGGTCTGATGGACATCTTGCCATTTGTAGCATCTTCTGTCTCTTTGCGATAGTGGCTTTGATTTGGGATGACTGTATATGCACCCTTTTCCAGAGTCTAAGCCTGTTTGGGCTTGTGTGTGGTATCACATGCTTTATTTTATTTATGCTCAGAAGAGCATCTTTCTCACGACCCACAGGAAAGATCCAAAAAGAACGGAACCTGACATTTCACAACTGTCCTTCAGTCTCAAAGGTTCAGCGACAAATATACCCTCCACAAGCTCACCTTCATTTTTGGGAGGACAAAGCAAATGTGGGAATCCAAATTCACCAAGTCCATTGCTAAGTTTTTGGCAAAAACTGGGCACCAGTCATGGATGCATATGAGCATAAATACCCAGGCTCTATGACATTCTCACCCCTCCCCCGAGTAAAATAGCCAATTCTAAAATTAGCCATCTTTCTGCTGGATCATTCTGAATTACAGGGAAAGGGGGAAAGAAACTGAGAACTTTAAATGGATAGAGTAAAAAAAAAAAGTCAAAAATGTCCATTTTGGTCTGAAATTTTAGTCCATTCTGGATAAACAGAATAGTCTAGCACAGATATGAGAAGGAGAAATTCTTATCCTCTCCTTGGTCTGCTGATAGCGTTGTTTTGCCTGTTTTTCTGGAAAAGCATTTTTGCTAAAAGCTATAGACTTCCTCCTTTATATCTAGCAATACTTTAACTTTATATAGTATAGCACTGTGCCATGCATTTGAAGACTCAGTTTTTAAAAATTGTTAACCTGTTGCTGACTTTGTTGTCATTTCTGTTTCAACAGCTGTTTCCCTTAATTCAGGATTCGACTTCTTATGTATGACAGTTTGCTTTCACACACCATTTTTGTGGGTGGGTATATATATCTGACTTTAGAGAACTAGAAAAAAACAAACAGTTTTTTACCTTTTTTAAAAAACAGACCTTCTGACTGTTAAATTTTGTGCTCTTAACCCATTAAAGAAGATAATGTCGTTTTTAGTTAAAAAAAAAACAAAAAACACAAACTTTTATAGATGCTTAAGAAGTTTGCCAGAATATAGCCTGATAATTATTAATCATTTAACCTTATATCCTTATTTCTTCCTGTTTCAGCTGATTTACCTGAGTTTAAAAACTCTTATTAATACTGTACTACAAGTAGCAAAGAAATGCTTGATATCTATTTAATGCTTTGTTTTCTTCAGTTTAAGAACTAAACATTATCAACAAAAACATTCAGATTAACATCCATATGATTACACAATAACACACTGATAATTTATGAATGAAAAAATTTCATTAGTGCATATTGAACACAACATATTTTAAATTCTAACATTGCTACCTACAAGCTGTTTAACAATGTATGTTCCCTGATAACAGACCAAGTTATTTGTGTGCCCGAACAACACTATTTTGCCTATGTTCATTTTTAATTCTTACTGGAATGGTACTAGCATTACTTTCCAAAATTTTGCAATTAAACTTATTTCATTCAGTTTGTAATGGCTCCTAGTAATAACGAGGTTGTTATTAAACAGAAGTTAGCCACTGTACTGACCACTGTATTGAAATATTGTAAGAAATTTTAAGAATAGCATTGTACATTTAGAGCTTCAGTTTAAAAAAAAAAAAAAAAAAAAGAGCCTGGACACAGGAAAGAGGAATGTAACAAAACCCAGACTTCACAGACTTAATGCTTTCCCTCTAGTTTCATCCTATATACCAGGAGGGTATGAATAGGTTCTTAATTTAGCAATAGGAGGAAGGATAATGTGCATAGTATTCTGGGGAAATAAAATTTAAAATTTTGTATGTTTATTTATATTATGAACATGGCTAAATTTCTTTGCTAAATTGGTCTCATTTTAAATTCTTTAACATGGATAATTTTTTTTTTTTTTTACTATTTATTGCAAAATTCATTTACCATAGCTTTACACTCCCTAAAACACAACCTATCTCAACATTAGGAAGCTGACTTTCAAGCAACTGCAAGTGTCAAACTTTCCTGCATTAAGAAAACAGTGCAAAGTCTAAATATTCACTGTAATTTACAGCCCAAAGAGATAAACAGGACGCAGATGTGATCCCAGCACAAAGGTCTTTGTGCAAAACTGGGGAGAAGGCGACTATAATTCTCAAAGGATGTGAACTCGGGTTAATCCAAGGTCTGACTCAGCAGTCAGAACAAGATCAACCTGGGTTCTAGTCCTAGTTACGACACTCTTATTATTATAAATACAAAGCAATTTCTGCAATTTAAAAACCCACTTTTCTGGGCTTACTACCAAAGGACAGACAAGTCCACTCCTCTCTAACAGCTTGTGATATTTTCCCTCAGATGCACTAAAGGTGACTCCAAAGTGCCTAACCTTTGCTCTGGAGCCACTAGGGGACGTGACCAGTCCTTGCACCTTTTAATTTTACGGAATCCTTTCAAAGCAAGGGCAGAGGATGCTCAAAGTGGCAAGGTCACTAGCCTTATTTTAAGTGCTTCGCAGCTTACAGGTAGAGAAACAGAAGGTGTGAATTAAGACCAGCTGTGTACAGCTGTGAGGGGAAAAACACAAATTATGCCGCAAGGGTAACTGTAGCTGAGACATCGACATACTCCATCTAGCTAAGCTTAATACCAAATAATAGGGACAGAGGTTTACAATTAACTATACCGTCCTCCCTTCCACATCCTCCCCCCCAAAAGCACGTACACTGAGTCTCGCACAACGCGAAGCAACATGGTGTCGCAGAATAAGCATTGTCTGGCTGTGTGGCTGAACTTACCTCTCTGCAAGGCGTCCATTTGGCCAATCTGCGAGAAGAGGACGGGCAGAGGAGGCGAGGGAGTTGGACAGGATTGCCCCTTCCGTCTCCGACGTTCAATGGAGTCTGCGGTCCGGAATCCCAAACCCCGCGGGGCGGGGGCCCTCCCGCCTTCCCAGCACCGCCCTTCTCCCAGGGCACAGGCAGAGCCCGGCCACAACCCGCCCTGCAGCTGGAGCGCGCTGCAAGGCACCTCCGGCCCCGGGCGCGCCCGAAAGAACGCAGAGCCTCCTTCTTGCGCGGGAAAAGCTCGCTCCGGCGGCTAGGCGCCGTCCCGGGCCCAGCGAAGCCCCTGGACAGGCGGGGACGCCGGGAGGCGCGAACCTCGGGGGCGGAGAATTGAACCCGCGTCCTGGGGGCGCAGTAGGAGCACGCTAAGGGACGCGGCCGGGCGGCCTCCTCAAGCCCTCCTCCGTGCGCCCACGCCCTCCACACCGAGGCTGGGGGAAACCCCGTGCCTCCCTCTTCCGTTCTTCTCGCACTCACCCATAGCCTCGAACGCCCAGCTCCAAGCCTGATAGCCGCCAGCCGGCGGAACGGCGAGCTGCCGAGCCCGCGCAGGCGCAGACCTTGACCGACCCCCGGTTAGCGGGGCGTAGCGTGACGCGCTTGCGCCGTCAGAGCTCTATCACGTGAGGGAGGCACCGCCGCCACCACGCCCCTCCTTTAAAATCGCAAGAATCAGGAGATGCCGACCACATCCTGGAGCAAGTTGGCCGCTGCAGGACAGGTAGAGAGGGTCACCCATTACACCCAATGTCGTCAGGCATTGGGCCTTCGTAAGTTAAATCAGTAACCTTGGCACCGTACGGTGGCCTTGCCGTGCCACAAACAGCCAACGCTTTCTCTCTTGTGCAGCCTGCCGGAGGACCAGTGGAATTGATAGTTGTGATTGGGAAGCAGGCGGGCGCCTTAAAGGTCTGAACGTGCCCTACCTAACACCCCTTTCTACCTTAGTTAGTTTCATCAAACCCTCGGAGTGGCCTTTGTCAGCTGCCACAGTTTACAGAACACCTGTCTGTGCTTTAGGACATCTAAATCACTTTTAAACCCGTTCCTTTCCACCTCAGATAGCTGGCAGGTCTTGGACTCCATCAGCAGTTAGGAGGCCGAGGTCAGGTAATAGTCCTGACACGTGCTGGGAGTGACCTTGGGCAGGTCACTGATCCCTGAGCCCCAGATCCCTGTCCGAAAAGTAATGCCTGCCTTGCATACATCCTCTGGCCTTTATAAGAATTACTAGGAGTAATGGTCTGATTCTAACTTGTAAACTGGAAGGCACGCAGATGTGAGGGTTGAAGGAAACGGAAAGGTCAGTTTGGAGAGGAGAGGCTCTTCAGGAGGGTCATCAAATAGGTGAAGTGTATGTCAGTAGGCGCCTCCACTGGAGTGAAGCATTAGGGTATGTATGTGCTTTAGGTGGGTGGCTTTCCTTCCCCCAAGAGCACTTTGTAGATGCTGACTCCAAAATGTGTGGTCTGCTTGAGCTGCCCTGCTTAACTATTTTGGGATGTGGGAGACCATGCGACCTAATTTCAGCAAGCACTCATGAGGTACCTATTGTGTGCCATTGTCCATGCCTAAGCTCTCTCTGGGGAGCTTAGATTCGAATGAAGGATATAAAAACAAAAGACTGAAAATTGGGAAGCACAAGAGGCTGTGCCCTTGGAGAGAGAGCTGGGATTGGCATTATAGGGTAAGAGGTGTTTGAACTGGGGCCTTGGAGGATGAAAGAGTGGAATTTGGACTCATAGAGAAAGTCATAATGCAGGAGATAAGATTGTAAAGGTCAGGTGGTAGGGTCTGATAGTGCAAATCTTGACTGTCAGACGCAGGCACCTGGCATGTAATTAGTGTGCTGAGATAGATTTGGGACTCGGCAGGATACTGACAAGCCCACACACTGGTTTGGAATGATTAATCAGGCACCAGTTGGAAGGGCATTTTTCTCTAAATTATGTTTGCCCTGTCTTGTGTGAATTCCTGTTCACATGTATTATTTGAAAAATAAATAAACCAGGCAGTCATCCAGCATGTTCATAAGCATAAATAATTCATTTGAAATAAGAATGGAAGTTTATTCTCCTGTGGTAAAACCTGAAAAGGAGGAAAAGATTGAAATTAAACACACAACTGGGGACATCCCAGGCCAGCGGGAACACTCCTGTCGAGCTGAGCCAGTCTGTTTCCTTTATGCTGCAGGCCACGTGCAGTCCTCTGCCCTCCAGCTTTAGTTCCTTGTCAGAAACCTCCACATCTTTAATCGGCTTTTCTTTGGCCTATGAATTTTGGAAATCAAAACCCTCTGTTTTCTGATTCAGAATGTCATAAAGTTAGCTTTTTCATTTCTCTGTCCACATCCACCCATTCTTTTTCTTTACATTTTTAATTGCAGTTGACATTCAATGTTATACTAGTGTCAGGTATACTGCATAGTGGTTAGGTAACTTATGAAGTGATTCCCCCACCATAAGTGTAGTACCACTGGCATCATTTATAGTTATTACAATATTATTGACTATAGTCCCTATGCTGTACTTTACATCCCCATATCTATTTTGTAACTGTCAATTTGTACTTATTAATCCCTTCATTTTTTTCACCCAGCTCTCAACACCCCTTCACCTAGTAACCATCAGTTTGTTCTCTGTATTTATGAATTTGTGCATTTATTTTGTTTTTTTAATCCACATATAAGTGAAATCAGGTGGTATTTGTCTTTCTCTGTCTGACTTATTTCATTTAGCGTAATACCCTCTAGCTTTATTCATATTGTCACAAATAGCAAGATTTCACTCTTTTTTTCCTTGCTGAGCACTGTTTCATTGTATGTATGTACTGTCTCTTCTTTATCCATTTCTCTATCAATAGACACTTAGGTTGCTTCCATATCTTGACTATTGAAATAATGCCGCAATGAACATAGGGATATATATATCTTTTTGAATTAGTATTTTGGGTTTCTTTGGGTAAATTCCCAAAAGTGGCGTTGCTGGGTCCTTCTTTGTTTTTTGTTAATAGCCTTTGTTTTAAAGTCTGTTTTGTCTAATATGAGTATTGCTACCCCAGCTATTTTTCCATTTCCATTTGTATGAGATATCTTTTTCCATCCCTTTACTTTAAAAAATTTGTATCTTTTGGTCTGGGTCTGTTGTAGACAACATATGTATGGGTCTTGTTTTTTTATCCAGTTGCCCTGTCATTTGTTTTTTTTTTTAGATTTTATTTATTAATTTTTAGAGAGAGGGGAAGGGAAGGAGAAAGAGAAGGAGAAAAACATTAATGTGGGGTTGCCTCTCACGTGCCCCCTACTGGGGACCTGGCCCCCAACCCAGGCATGTGCCCTGACTGGGAATCAAACTGGTGACCCTTTGGTTCACAGGCCAGAACTCAATCCACTGAGCCACACTAGCCAGGGCTGGTTACCTAGTCTTTCGATTGGAGCATTTAATCCATTTACATTTAAAATAATTGATAGGTATGTAGTCATTGCCATTTTATTAATATTTTTTGACTGTCTTCCCCTCCCCTACCCCTTCCTCTCCTCCCCTTTTCTCCTCCCCCTCCTCAACATTTCTTGTAATACCAGTTTGGTGGTGATGAACTCCCTTAACTTTTTCTTGTCTGGGCAGCTCTTTATCTTTTGTTCAATTCTAAATGATAGCTGTGATGAGTAGAGTAATCTTGATTGTGAGTCCTTGCTTTTCATCACTTTGAATATTTCATGCCAGTCCCTTCTGGCCTGCAAAGCTTCTGTTGAGAAATCCACTGACAGTCTTATGGAAGTGCCCTTGTAGGTAACTAACTGCTTTTCTCTTGCTGCTTTTAAGATTCTCTCTTTATCTTTAACCTTTGGCATTTTAATTATGATGTGTCTTGGTGCACATCCACATACTCTTTCATTCATTCTTCAGTCTCTTAAATTGTTCTCTCTACAGTGGAACCTTGGTTCTTGAACTTAATTCGTTCTGGTAGGCTGTTTGAAAAATGAATTGTTTGAGATGGGAGACACTCGAGAACTGAGGTTGGACTGTATCACCAGCATCCATATCAGCTGTCGGACCGTATCCTCTAACTCAGCTTTGATCTTCTCACTTCTCAGCCTAAAAGCCTTCGATGGTTCCCTCTTGCCTCTCCAATAAATCTAAATTCCTTAATTTGGCCTGAGGGCTGTGTCCTGGTGCGTCTGCCTATTAGCCCACCTCATTCCCAGCTACATTCTGTGTTTAAGCCATGTAGAGTCTCTCAAAGTTTTGCAGATCCTTGTATTTAAGTCTTCTCCCCTCTTTTACCATTGCACACTCGTTAACCCTTCAAGGCCCTTTGCCTCCTCCTTTGAAAAGTTTCCTCTTACCCAGCTCACTAGGGCAGAGCTGTCAGACTTGTTTCTGGCCGCCTAACTCAGTGCTTGGCAAAAAGGTTGCTTGCCCAAACAAAATGGTGGAGAGGGTGGCAATGTTGCTGATGGATCTTTGCTTAAGCACTCGCCACTCCCTTCTCACTAAATGCTTCCTAGGGAGTTGTCTAGTGTCCCCAGACTCCATGGGCCCTTACGTCCACAAAAACAATTCTATGCAGGCTGTCAGTGGAGTCTCACTGTTGTGAGTGGCTCTGCCCAAATAAGATCACCTTAGGTCATTCCCTAGCAAGTGGTCAATGACCTTCATTGCTCTTCAGCTCACAATTTCCCAGGCCACCCTCTGGAACTCTCTCTGCCACTCCCCTTGACATCCCTGTGCTCCAGCCATGAAGCCAGCACTGCTGGTTGCCTTCCATGAACTCGCTGCATTCTTTTACACACCCACAAACTGCGTACATTTTGTCCCGTGCCTGGTAGGCCCTGCCTTCTGTTCCCCCTTCGCATACACAGAGCTTCTTGCTGCTTTCCCTGACCCTGACCTCACTATCGGAGGCTGCAGAGGTCCCCCACTGTACTGTCAGCCCTGCTCCCTCACCCCCCAGGGTGTCCTTGAATTCCTCCTGTTCCTGTAGCTGCTCCGTAAATTCTTGGACATGCCTCCTTTCTCCTTCACTTATTTTCAAACTAACACTGATCTAGCAACTCATATCATCTGCATGTACAACACATATGACTGAGTCAGAGGTTTTATCCCACAAGCCTATGAGATGGTCTATTCCATTTATTCATTCATTTATTTTCACGCTGGTGGAGAGTGAGTCTTAAGCCTATTTTACATGAGAATTATCTGGGAACCTGTGAAAACCAACCGAACAAACAAAACCTGAGAGATTCTGATTTAATTAGCCTGCAGTGGGACCTGGACCATAGTATTTTTTAAAAATTTCCCGGGTGTGCTGATGCTGCAGACAGCACTACATGGCTGCTTCCCCAATGTGCCTAAAGATAAGAATCACCTTCCTGGCCCAGTATCTTGCTTAGAGTGCCCTCTGGATATGCCAAGGTTGAAGGTTTGATCCCCGGTCAGGGCACATACAAGAATCAACCAATGAATGCATAAATAAGTGGAAGAACAAATGGGAGTTTCGCTTTTCCTCTTCTTTCCTCTCTCTAAAAACAATAAGTAAAAATTAAAAAAAAAAAAAAGAGAATCACCTGAACGTGTCCAGGAAGCCTGTGATCCTGGA